CAAATTTGTTGGCGCACTGCCCTGTGGGTCTACCAGACCTAGGGTGTGCAAATGCAAACCCAGAAAGGCCAGCAGACTCACAGGGCAGCGCGCCCTAATTAATTAGGCCTAGAAGCCTGCTATATAGAGGAGTTCGAAGAGGTAGCCGCGGCTTGGTTTATAAACTAGTGCGGCTGCCCTTCGCCGGGCGAGGTAGGACTAAATTTTGGGGTGGCAGTGCAAACTCTAAATACAGCAAAAAACAACTAAAAATAAATAAAACAAAATAAATAAAGCAGAAAAGAAAAAACTAAATAAAAAAAGCCCACCTACTGGGCCACAGCGGCCTACATACGACTAGAAACCCAACCTGTTGTTGGGCCAGGATGCAGGCCCGCAAGCCCAATAGGCCCCACAGGGCATAGTAGCAGAGGTAGGCCCAGAAGGCCTGCTTTAGAGAGGAGCTCGAGACAGCAGCGGCGGCGGGGCTTATAAGCAGGTGTGTGCGTCGTTCGGCTAGCGAGGTGGGACTAAACTTCTGCGCCCCTCGCCTGGCAGCGCACCCCCCTTTAGTACCGGTTCGTGGCTCCAACCGGTACTAAAGGGGGGGTCTTTAGTACCGGTTCGTGGCACGAACCGGTACTAAAGGGGTCGTTTCCCGCCGCTTGGCCTGGGGAAAATAGGCCTTTAGTACCGGTTCGTGCCACGAACCGGTACTAAAGGCCAATCCTATATATACAGCACTTACGAAAATTTCAGTTTCAACTCGCCACTTCGTCTCCAACCTCCGCCGCGCGCGCCGCTCGATCCCGTCGTCATCGTCGTTGTCCCCGCCGCCGCCCGTCGTCGTCGTCGTCTCGCGCGCTGCCGCCCCGAACGCCGCCGCCGTCCGTCGTCATCGCCGCGGCCGTACGTCTCTCTCTCGCTCCCGCACACACATACACACACATACACACACACCGGCGGCGCCCCCGCCTCGTACGCCGGTGCCTCCGCTCGTACGTACGGGGCGGCGGCATATGGGGCCGCACACACACACACATATACCACACATGCACACACACGCATACACACACATACACACGCATACACACACACATACACAGACATATAACTAGTTTATTTTTAATAAGGAAATTTAGGTATATGAGATTAGAACTAGTTGAATAATTAATATAACTAGTTTATTTTTAATAAGGAAATTTAGGTATATGAGATTAATTAGAACTAGTTGAATAATTAATATAACTAGTTTATTCTTAGTAAGAAAATTTAGGTATATGAGATTAGAACTAGTTGAATAATTAATATAACTAGTTTATTTTTAGTAAGAAAATTTAGGTATATGAGATTAGAACTAGTTGAATAATTAATATAACTAGTTTATTCTTAGTAAGAAAATTTAGGTATATGAGATTAGAACTAGTTGAATAATTAATATAACTAGTTTATTCTTAGTAAGAAAATTTAGGTATATGAGATTAGAACTAGTTGAATAATTAATATAACTAGTTTATTTTTAGTAAGAAAATTTAGATATATGAGATTAGAACTAGTTGAATAATTAATATAACTAATTTATTTTTAGTAAGAAAATTTAGGTATATAGAAAATTTAGGTATATAATTATTATTTGTTAATGAATTAGATAGAAAAGTTAAATATATAGTAATGTCAATTGAATATATAGTTAGATATATTAATGTCAAATGTTAGATGAATATATATTTGGCTAGATATAGGTGTTTAATGTTTCACCTATATGAACATAGGAAATGTCATCTGACGACGAAAAAGATTTTATTATGTGCAAACGCTGTGAAGACCAGCGCGGCCTGTGCGACCAAAATTTCCTTGTTGATGGTAGGCGCTTCAGCATCAAGCTGGATGAGACATTCGAAGTTGATACAGTAAGTCACTTTGTCAATTATTATTTGAATGCAAAACTTATGCTTCATTTGCTTCAACTTATAATTTTAAATTTTCACTATTCTACTAACGCATCCCCTGCCATGCAAGAATTTTTGTCTTGGATAAGATAGGTTTCAGTGCTATAGATGATATGGAGGTAAAGAGAGTTTACTTGAAGACGCAGCATGGGTATACTTTCAACGTCAAATTATATAATGGAGACACATACACCCATTTTGAATGCAAAACTTGGCAAGCACTATGCAAGGCTTATGCATTTGAGCCTGATATGGTTATCAACTTTGATATTCGTCTGGAAGATGATATTGAAGGTAATATAGACATCTGGGTCGATGTGCAAACGCCTCCAGTTCTACCATTTGGTGAGTTTTTCTCAACCATGCATGCATATGTTTATGTCTTTCGTACAGTTTATTCAAAAATAGTTGACAACTATTTTGTATTGTCAGCTTATTTCGGTTCAACCAAACATGTCCGACGCTTGGTAAACAGGACCTACTACTGCCCCGGGGCTCAACTAAACTGCGAGGAGATAAGTCATTATGTTTCATGGCTTGAGGATCTTAATACTGTCAAGACAAATTTTTTCCCTACACTTAGAAATGTTAGTACTCAAAACGTGCGACCAATGGTGATCGTATTGAACTACGGTCACATCTATAATCAAAAGATGGTAAGATTTTAAATATTTGTCCTTAATTAGTGCATCTTTTGCATACATTATTTTTGAAGCTAAATTTTCATTGCTTAGTATATTAATTACTATACGATGTTATTCAACAGGGACTTCCGATGACAGTTGTGCCTCAGTGGATCGAGACAAAAGGTCGCATGTCAATGGTTAGCTTACGACCAAGATTTCCTACATTGCACATGAGTGCATTCAGGATTTCTAAAAGCGAAGAATGCTTAATAGTGAAAGATTGGAGCAAAATTGTTAACGATCGCAGAGAAGTACTAGTGGGCAGTAAGGAGAAGCGCAACCCAAGATTAGGAGACAGATTCATCTGCATGCTCCAGTATGATGAATCAGGAGAGCTATACATGTTCTATGCTATTCTACCTGAGAGGGAGCAGCAGGATCAGTAGCTACTCTTCATGCTCTTAATTAGTACTTGTCTCATGGATCTGTGTCCTGAACTTCGATGTTGGTGATGATTGAACTTGATGATATCTCTTTGCTTCTGTTACAAAGTGAATGTTTCCTCTTTAAGCTAGCCAACGTTGATGATGAATTACATAGCTAGCGGTAATTAATGACTATGATGATTAAATAGTGGTAATTAGACGACCACGGTGATTTTTAGCTAGCTAGAGTTTATTTATTTATTAATATGCGATGAGGATGATGATGATGATGATGACGACTACAACTCATTATAACGTAAAACAATCCTAAATTAAATTGATAACACAAATTTAATTGAAAAATACAAAATAAAACAAAAACCCACAACCATTTAGTACCGGTTGGTGTTACCAACCGGTACTAAAGGGCTCCCGGCCCCCGAAGCTGGCTCGTGCCACGTGGTACCCATTTAGCACCGGTTCGTGCTGAACCGGTACTAAAGGGGGGGGGCCTTTAGTGCCGAAATAATAGTGCCGGTTCCTAAACCGGCACTAAAGGCCCTTACGAACCGGTGCTATTGCCCGGTTTTCTACTAGTGTGAGCAGGGGGTTGGGTGCCTAGCCCGCCGCCTTGTCGTGGTTGTGACTTCCACATCTTTGGCAACGGGGCATCCGTGCCTTCGAGCAAGTCATTTAGGAGGGCCCCACACAGCCGTGACATGATCTAGTCTTTCCACACGAGGAGATTTCCTTTGGTAAGTTTCTCTAAAGGTGGCGTGCCTAGGGCAGCCCTGACGGCAGTTGGCGTGGTGGCCAAGGGTGGACATTGGGGTACAAATTGCTAGATGGAAGCGGAAGAACCTCCTATGCTTCAATACCATGTAGAATTTTAGGAAGCGTTTGACACCCCGCAGGATGCCGCGCGCATTGTATTTATATGGCGGTGCTTATCCAAAAACAACATACACACAAGGAAAACTAGAGATTACATGGAATACCGTTAAGGTTTTATCTCAACCAAACCGTGTACAATGATAGGATCTAAAAGGTTCTAGTCTATTCCTATGGCATATCTTAAGAGCCAAAACATAGCCTTTTGACATCTTGAATTCGATTACATGGTCTCCCCCCTTTATTTTGACATATAGCAGAGTGAAGCCAGCAATGTTGATCAATGACTGGCTTCATTCCGTGCGGCTGCTATCGATCTATTGTACGCCACTTGGATCTTCTTCAGCCTCACAACCACATTGCTCATTGTCGTTCTTTGGTCAGGAGAGTTGCTAGTGCAGACCAAACCCAACTTGAATATCGGTACAAGAAAGCCTTCCATGCTGCTGCTAAATGGCCCTTGTAGTAGCTGATCATCCACAACACAGACAAGTTCTGAAGGAAACGCCTCAACAACCCACTGTCTCAGGTTTATATCTCCAACAACAAAAAAGGCATCTGTGGGTCTCTTTCTAGTAAAGACTTCAAAGAGCATGATTCCAAAGCTGAATACATCACTTTTTCGTGAAGCTTTTCCCTGAGCCCCATACTCTGAAATTAAGGCATGCCTGATTAACTTAATTACTCAATGGTTCAATAAGAAGTAGATTGAGCAAGAAAAGTGCTAGCTAGTAACAGTACCTGGTGCCATGTAGCCAACAGTTCCAGGCATGCTCGCAGTGATTGTAGAGCTGTCATCACCTAGTAACAACCTTGCAATGCCAAAGTCTGCCACATGTGCTGTCATGTCCTCATCAAACAACACATTGCTAGGCTTCAATTCACAGTGCAAGACCACCTCGTAGTGTTCATGGTGTAGATACTCCATTGCCAATGACACATCGAGCATGATGCCTAGTCTCTCACTGAATCCCAATCCGGTTGTACCTTGAGAGTTGTGTAGCAGCATTTCTAAGCTGCCATTGGGCATGTATTGAAGCACCAATGCCCTAAATTCCAAGTTGGAGCAGGTATTGAGTATCCTCATTAGATTGCGGTGTCGTGCCATCCGTAGTACACCGCACTCTGTATCAAAGCTTCTTATCGCTTGTTCTAGCTGCATATCTAACTTTGATTGCAACAATCAAACCATTGCTTAGTTGGCCCTTGAAAACTTTCCCAAAACTTCCAGACCCTAGCAGGTTGCTCTCACTAAAATTATCAGTTTTTTCGATAAAGGGCGATGTTATTATCTCAAATGTAGCATCAAGCGGATACAAAACATTATGAGTAACACCCGGCCTCTGCATAACTAGGATGCACACAGCCAAACACCAAAGTTTGACACTAGAAAAAGTAAGAAAACCGACAATACGACAACAGTAGAGTCCTATGGACCGACACTTTGCCTATGTCGAACTCGGCGGTGGATGGATCCGGAGGTTATGCTGCCATCCATGTTGGGAAAAAGCCTCCATAGCCGCCTGCTCCAACCGCGTACACACCGCCTTGAACAGCGGTTGGTGCTCCGCCTGTTGTAGCGTAGACCACGTACGAAGCGAGTACGTACAACGGAAAATAACCTGCAGAGGAGAAGCATTTTTGTCATTAAAAATCAAATCATTTCTACATAGCCAAAGCGACCATAGTAAGGCATACGCCCCCACCCTTATTAGCGTTTTGAAACTATTTGAAATTCCGTCCAACCAATGACCAAATATATTGGCAATACTCGTTGGCGGATACAAATTTGACGCTATTTGGATGACTGACCATGTAGACCGTGCAAACTTGCATTGAAAAAAGAGGTGTTTGATTGTCTCGTCATGAGCACAAAAGCAACACTTCTTACTTCCTGGCCAGTTGCGCCGTGCAAGATTGTCTTTGGTTAGCACAACTCCCCTACGAAGATACCACATAAAGATTTTAACTTTTAGTGAAATCTTTGACTTCCAGATTTTCTTGTTATTATTCACTGGCACCTCGGAATGCATAAGCGCACGGTACATCGAGTCTACTGTGTAAGACCCTGATGTTGTGAGTTTCCAGTGAAACACATCCCGACCTTGTGTCAGATTAATCGAATCCAGACGGGATAAAAGATTATGCCATGACAAAAGTCGGGGGCCAATCAAATCCCGCCTGAACGAAATATTCGGTGGGGATGAACTAAGCACTTGTGCAATAGTATTACTCTTATCGCGAGCAATGGCGTATAAGGCTGGGTATTGCTGTCGGAGACTGGCATTGCCTAGCCATATGTCTTCCCAGAAACGAACCTCTGACCCATCCTTTATCGCGAAAGACCCAAAGCGAAAAAGATGTTTCTTTGCCACCATTAGGCCGGCCCAAAAGTGTGAGTCACCAGGTTTCCAATAAGCCTGAGACACCGCCTTTTGGCCTAGGTACTTGTTGCGCAATATGGTTTGCCAAACACCATTCTCGGTAAGAAGTTTGAACAACCATTTACTAAGTAGGGCCTCATTCTTGACCTGCAGGTCATGAATTCCAAGGCCACCTTGGTCTTTCGGCCTACAAACCATGCTCCATTTTGCCAACCTATATTTTTTCTTTTCACCGTCTCCCTGCCAAAAAAATCTGGATCTAAAATAGTCCAATCTTTGGAGGACCCCTTTTGGGAGTTGGAAGAAAGAAAGCATATAGAGAACCATATTTGTGAGGACAGAGTTAATTAAAACCAACCGTCCTCCAACTGAGAGCAACTTGCCTTTCCAACTGCTCAGTCGTTTCTCTAGACGCTCCTCAACATGCTTCCACTCCGCAATGGTGAGACGCCGATAGTGAACTAAAATTATCAGTTGCTCGAACAAGCTCATGGTACGAGACCAGGTGATGGGTGGGCATGTCAACCATACCGGGAGAAGCTGAGATCCCTTGCCGCTTCTTAATCTTCTTTCTGACTGTTACATATATGCAGAAAGCTACAAGTCCAATAGCTATGATGATAATAGGGAGCAAAATCTTCAGCATGCCGCCATTATTACTTCTTTTAGAGTTACTTGGGCACATTGGAAATCCTAAACGTGAAGCACCACAAAGCCTTGAATTCCCCGTCAAGGATTGCTGACTAATATTTAAGAAGACACCACCTTCTGGTACTTGACCTTGTAGCTTGTTGAAAGACAGGTTCAAGCTGGTCAGGATGGTGAAATTGACTAGGTACTTTGGTATTGTACCAGAGAGACTGTTATGTGATAGGTCCAAAGTTTGCAAGCTGGTTAGCTTGCCGAAAGATTCTGGAAGTGAATCATCAAATGAATTGTGTGACAGGTTCAAGTAGGTTATTGTTTGGAGTTGTCCAATCGAATATGGGATGCTACCAACCAAAAGGTTGGCAGAGAGGTCCATGCCATAAATTTGCTTCAAATAGCCCAAATCAACCGGTAATGTGCCAGTCAAGAAGTTTCGAGACACATCTAGCTCAATGAGACTGTCAAGATGAAATAAACTTGATGGGATAATTGATGATAACTGGTTGGCAGACAGTAACAGGTATTCTAACTTGGTCAGGTTACCAATCCCCTCCCGTATTGAACCAGACAATTTATTGTTGTAGAGGAACAAACGTTCTATATTCTTGAGCATTGCAATCTGAGCTGGGATGGACCCAAACAAGTGATTTCCGTTCAGGTAAAGCCACTGGAGATTCTCCATCATTATGATGGATTTTGGAATCGTGCTATCCAACTGATTCTCTGAAAAATCTAGCCATTCAAGACCTGTTAGGTTTGAAATCGTAGCCGGAAGTTCACCAACTAAATTGTTATCATATGCAATGAAAATCTGCAGCTGGCTTGACAGGTTTCCCACATAGTTAGGAATGCCACTGGTGAAATTATTTGAATATAAGCGAATATACCGGAGTTTTCTAAAATTAGAAAAACTGGATAAGAAGCTAAGATCCCCCACTAGGCGGTTCTCTGAAATATCAATCTCAATCATAGAGTTGCTACTACCGATTGTTCGTGGTACTGATCCAAGGAACATATTTCCGGGTAAGAGCAGGACCATTAATTCAGACAGGTTACCAAGAGAAGCAGGAATTGGTCCTGCCAGTTGGTTGTCTGAGATATCCAACACAGTGAGTTTGTCCAGTTGTCCAAATTCTTCCGGAATGGCTCCTGACAGGTTACAGCATGCCAGGTCTAGTAAACCTAGCTGAGTGAGGTTGCTAAGTGCAACTGCAGGAATTGGACCAAGAAGGTGATTCCAACCCAAGGAAAGGAAATTGAGATTAGAAAGCTTTCCCAGCCACGTTGGCACAACACCCTCAAAGAAATTCGCACTGAAGGAGATAATTTGGAGGTAGTGACAAGAGGAGAGCCCCAATGGAATCTCACCGGTGAATTTGTTGTTGTATAGGCTGATAATTTTCAACGCAGGTAGACTAAAACTTTTGTTATTAGGGATCGGACCAGTTAAGTTGTAGTTGAATTCAAGCCAGATTTCAGTTAATCTAGAATGGTTGAATATGGATGGAGGTACTGGGCCGCTGAAATGATTCACTTGAAGGTTAAGGTACTCAAGCATTGGTAAGGAGCCAATACAAGATGGTATATGTCCTGACAGGCTGTTGTTGCCAAAGTCCAGGTAAGTTATCGGAGGGGTATTATTAAATAGATAGGTTGGCATTGAGCCGCTCAGGTAATTCCTGAAGACACTGAAGTAGCCAAGACTCTGCAGGTTCTGCAATTCTTCGGGGATTGAACCAGATAGATGGTTATAATATAGGGAAAGAACATGAAGCCTTGTGAGGTTTCCTATGGTGGTTGGGATGCTACCTGATAGGCCATTGAATCCGAGATATAGGTATTTAAGACGATGAAGCCGTCCTAAATCATCGGGGATGGAGCCTGTGAGATTTGTATTGTCAAGGTTGAGAACAGAGAGGAAAGAGAGATTACCAAGGCGAGGAGTGATAGATCCATAGAGGTTGTAGCCCGGCAGTTCCAAAGCTGTGACGCGCTGCCGGCGCCAACTGCATGCAACACCAAACCAGTGGCAGAAATTCGTACCAGCAGTCCAGTTGCTGGCAAGGATGCTGAGAGGGTCGGAGAGCTGTGCTTTGAAAGCAAGCAGGGCAGTAAGATCAGTGTCGCTACCATTGCTCTTGCTTGGACCAGGAGAAGACGTGGGTACAGTGGACAGCAAGGTGATCAAGAACAGAATGGGTATGGATATGGATGGAAATCCAAGTGAGGCCATGTATGGGACAGAGATGCAAGTGCGAGCTGTTATCTTATCGATCGATCGGTCTTTATATGGTGGGAAGGATAGTTTTTTGATAGGCTCCAGCTTCCAAGTGGTGCTTTCGGCATCAAAGACCTTCGCATTTTTTCGAGAAGGGGAGTACCCCGACCTCTGCATTATAGGATGCACACAGCCATTTTATTAAACGCGAATCAAGTTCAAGTCACCGAGTACCAGTAATACAAATAAAAAGGAAACGTGGCCACAAGTGGCGCTTTCGGCATCATAGACCTTAATTATTGTGTAATATTTTTGTGGATTAGTGGAGATATCCGAAGTGGTGCCTGTGAGATTTTTTGATACGCTCCAGCTTCCAAGTGTTTGATAGTGACATGTATTAGCAATACCAAACTCAAAAGCATGTAGAGTAGAAATCATAAACCCACAGATTGTAGCACGCTGGTTCTACATCTACAGGCCGTGGATTATGCATGCTTACTTCATAAGCCCTCCTGTCTTTGTCCATTTGCAACCACTAGTTTGTGCTGCTCTCAGTTTCAACTTTCAAAGACATACTTTCAGCATTTAGATACGAGCAGCACTGGAACCATAGACCGGATCTTCATCCTTCATACTGATGATGTGATGTGCATTTACCCTTTCATGGTATGTTTACTGCTGCTGATGAGGAAGGATTGGACTGCAATCTCACACGGCGCTCGAGATGTCACACTCAAAAGGTGGAATTCTTCCACGATAACTGAGCCAACCAGTGCAGCAGCTGTCACGTACTACTACAGCATGACCCTGACTGCTACCTGCCGACGAAGAATAGGGGTGTCGCCTTCATTATCGTCGGTGACCACTTATTAATAGTTAAAAGGATTAGCAAACGTCTCAATTTTATTATGCAAAATTACCTCATTGCTTAAAATGACGAACTGTAGCAAATGCATAAACATACATCCGGCAGTTGAGGTTCTCTATCTTCCCAACTTGTACCTGAAACTTCTACCAGGTTTAAATAAATGTGTTTCGGCAAAAACAGATATATTAAAAAATGAGTTCACAAGAAAATAGCAGTTAGCTTCAGGAATTTGTAGGAGACATACCCCATCTTTCTCATGAAATCCATGGCAATATTTTATATAACGGAAACTGGAGTTCCTAGCACAAAAGGTTTGAGCAAAACAGAAAACACAGATCAGCGGCAGCAGCAGGAGCTGAAGCTAAATATTATGAATAAGATGGCAAGGGCATAGCAGTAGGAGTTTTGCTAATCTGCTAGCTATTACATGTTTCCGCAGATTGTTTGAAACTTTCTTTTCTTAAAGAGTAGTCGGTAGTCGGTACTCATCTTGCATTTCTAAACCTTCATGGTGAAATGGCAAGAATAGTATAAAGACCGTACTGTCATTCATTTCCAAGACCATGGAGCTTTCTAGCTAGACCATACAACACGGCAGAAGCTTCAGTGGTTCCTGCCCAGGCACGCAACTACCATGATGAGAACAACTTCATCCTGGTTGTACTTGTCATCCAAACGAAAATATCGACTAATCGCATGCGTAGTCCATGAGTCGGTGTCCTGGGGATTTGGCTGGACTCGGAAGTCGTAATCCTCCAATAACTTGCAGAACCTCGAAGACAGGACAAGATATTGCACTCAATGTTGAAATTTCTCCATGGCGATTGAGGCTGCAGCAGCTATCACGGTGATTGGACCACAATCTCACACGGCGGAATGTTGCATTCAGAGGTGGAATTCTTCGACGATAACCGAGCCAACCAGTGCAGCAGCTGTCAGGGTACTACTGCAGCACGATCCTGGATGCTACCTAACGACAAAGAATGGGGTGCCGCCTTCGTCATTGACTACTTAATCAAAGTAAAATGGAAGGATGAGCAAAATACTCATTGCTTAGAAAGGATGATTTGCAGCAAATGCATAAACACATGTTCTTCATCTTCTCAACTTGTAGATGAAGATTCTACCAAATTTAAACAAATAATAAAATATTAAAACATACGTTGGTGACGCCCCCGCGTTTGCCCGGTGGCAAACCCTACTGGCGGCCGCCCCCATCTGCCTTCCCGGCTCCACGACCCCCCCCCCTGTGCCGCAGCCACGTGGAGCCGTTGGGCAAAGCCCCGTTGGCATAGGCGGCGGAGGGGCTCTGGTTCCCCTCTCCGTGACGCGCTTCTAGCACGGGATGACGGCTCGGGTGTTAGGTAATCAGCTGCACTTCTGTTTTCTTTCAGTCAAGTTCAGAAACTTTGTTTAGTTTCAGTTAGCAGTTCTCTGAATAACACTGACCGTCAGCTTGTGCCTGTACACGTACGAGTTCAGTTTCAGTTAGTTTTCTGTTAGGTAGTTAGCTAGTCTTCAGCTCGCCGTAGGGATCGCCATGGGATGGCATGGATCACGCATTCCTCGCCGCGAGCATGTAGGGCTCTGCACGTTCGAGCGTCGTGGGATGGCACGACCTCTAAGCTCGACGAGCACGACCATTTCTTTGCTGTTTTCCAGGAGCTTCAATGAGCTCAGATAAATAAGATCAGAAACAGAAAAGCTGCAAGTTGTTACGCAGCGCAAAATTCAGTCTTCCTCCTCTCGTCTCATCTCTCTCTCTCTCGTTCGTGCTTGCCGGCGATCTGCAACTACAAGTGGTATCAGAGCCTCGGTGGTGTTCGATCCATCCTGGGCGCCGGCGGTGTCTGATCCGCCGGAGAGATGGCCGGAAGCGACGAAGAGAAGGCGAAGAAGATGCAAGATGAGGAACAGGCCAAGGCGGAGGCCGCAGCGCTTGGGAAGTCCCTGGCCCGCCTTTCCACCGAGGAGGGGTCGGGGGTGCGCATCGTGCACGGCGGCGGCGGCGGAGCGCCACCGATGATGCTCACCCGCACCAACTACAGTGACTGGGCCATGATCACAAAGCTCCAGTTACAGGCCGACGAGCTGTGGCGCGTGGTGGAAACGGGCCAAGGCACGGACCGCGGTGACCGGCGCGCCATGAGCGCCCTTCTCAAGGGGGTCCCGCCGGAGCTCATGCGGATCCTAGGCGCCAAGGCCACGGCCAAGGAGGCGTGGGACACCCTGAAGACCATGCGCGTCGGTGTCGAGCGCGTGCGCGAGGCCAAGGCGCAGACCCGCCGCTCGGAGTACGAGTCGCTTCGGTACAAGGACGGCGAGGGGATCGAGTCGTATGTGATGCGGCTCAGGACGGTCATTGATGACCTGCAGGCGCTCGGCGACCCAGTGAACGAGCACAAGGCGGTCCTCAAGGTACTTCAGACGGTGCCACGTCCATATCGCGAGATGGCCGTGGCGATCGAGTCGCTCGTTGACACCAAGCAGCTCTCCCTTGAGGAGCTGTGCGGCCGGCTCCTTGTCGTCGAGGAGCGTGAGCGCGAGGAGACCCCGGCGCCCGGTGCACAGCTGTTGTACATGATCGACCAGTGGCGCGCACATGAGAAGCTCCTGGATCAGAACAGCGCGTCCTCAGGCTCTGGAGCAGGGCGTGGACGCGGGAACGGCAAGCAGAAGAACCTCCAAGGCGGGGGCGGTCGTGGCCAGAGCATTGGCCACGGCAAACGGCGGGCCGGCGACGCCCAAGTGGAAGGGAAATTGCCGCTATTGTGGCATCCCTGGCCACTGGGCGAAGGAGTGCCGCAAGAAGGAGCGGGACCAGCGCGAGCAGCAAGATCAGTAGGCGAACGTCGCCCAGGTCGAGGGTGAGCAGCCTGGCTTGCTCCTCGCCACCTGCGCGGTGGTGAGCGAGGCGAGCACCGGGGACGGCACGCGTGAGCAGTCCACGGACATATTCCTCAACAAAGCTCGCGTAGTGCCGGTCGCCACCAACGACGACCGCTGGTACCTGGATACTGGTGCTATCAATCACATGACAGGGCGGCGTGACATGTTATCGCAGGTGGACGAGTCCGTTCGTGGCTCGGTGCACTTCGGCGATGGCTCTGTCATGCAGATCTGCGGACGCGGTGTCGTGATGTTCTCCTGCAAGAACGGCGAGCACCGCGCGCTCTCGGATGTCTATTACATCCCTCAGCTGCGTACGAGCATCGTGAGCCTCGGGCAGCTCGACGAGCACGGCTGCAAGTCCGTGATCGAGGACGGCGTGCTCTGCCTCTACGACAGGCAGCGCGTGCTTCTGGCACGGGTGCAGCGGACGAGCAACCGGCTCTATGCGGTGGCTCTGAACTTGGCTGCGCCCGTGTGCCTCCTGGTGCACGGCGGCGACGAGGCGTGGCGTTGGCATGGACGTTTCGGCCACCTCCACTTCCGGGCGCTCCATGATCTTGGCGTGAAGGGGATGGTGCGAGGCATGCCGGCGATCAAGCACGTCGAGCAGTTCTGCGAGGGCTGCACACTCGGAAAGATGCACCGCACGCCGTTCCTGCGCGCGTCGGCGTACCGCGCACAGCAAGGACTCGAGCTCGTCCACGGCGACCTCTGCGGACCCATCAGGCCGGCGACCACGTCCGGTAACAAGTATTTTCTGCTCATCGTTGATTATCATAGTAGATACATGTGGTTGGAAGTGCTCAGGAGCAAGGACGAGGCGTTCAAGTTCTTCAAAAAGATCAAGGCGGCCGCGGAGACTCAGTGTGGCGCAAAGCTCAGAGCGCTCCGCACTGACCGCGGCGGGGAGTTCATCTCGAACGAGTTCACCGCGTACTGTGAGGAGCTTGGCATCCTAAGGAACACGACGACTCCGTATTCTCCCCAACAGAATGGAGTCGTCGAGCGCCGCAACCAGTCCGTGGTCGAGATGACTCGCAGCCTGATGAAAAGCATGGGCATGCCGAGCACGTTCTGGGGCGAGGCGGTGCGCACAGCGGTGCACATCCTCAACCGCTCGCCGACGAGGAGTCTGCAGGGCATGACACCCTATGAGGCGTGGCGCAAGAAGAAGCCCACGGTCGACTACTTCCGCATGTTCAGCTGCGTCGCGCACGTCAAGCTCGTCGGCCCCGGCGTGACCAAGCTCGCGGAC